TTTTATTGGGCAGTCATGCGGACGGTAAACCGTCTCTGGAAAATAGTGATATAACTAATAACAAATGAGCCACGCTTGCAGAATATAATCGCACCGGAGCTTTCATATCTAAGCAGTTCGTACCTGCCGTTCCGTGAAATCTGGTCTCTGTCCTTTCCACCAAGCTGCCGCGGCTCCAGTCCACCGCTCCAGACGGCTGGGTCCACAGTGAAGACCCGGCGCCGCTACATCGCTCGTCGACCGGTCTCCAGACTCCGGTGACGTCATTACAGACGTGACGTCACCGATGATCGACGTCCAACGGAGGTGACAGGTCTGCAGTGAGTAGGGTTTTCCACGTAGATCTGCATACGGGAAGCTGGCCCCAGGCTGAGGTCATTCGGAGATTTAGGAAGAGTTTCCGACGAATGCGACAGTAATCGTGAACGGCCATCGAAGATTGTGGCTCAGGGCAATGTCTTGGGACTGCGTCGTTAAAACGTTAGACGCTATCAGAATCCAGAGATCAGTTTGGTAATTGGCAGCCACGAGTGGCATTCCAGGATGCTTGGGGTCAATAAATTCTGAAAGCCACAAATATGCTGATTGCTGCGACCTGTTGACCAGGCAGCAGAAGGTCTTTAATACGATATCTGAATGGTTATGTAAAGCCCCGGTCCCACTAGGCGATGCGACCACTTACGACCGCCCGCGATCGGTGGTCGGCAAAAGGTTGTTGCAATTCTTCAAGAGCTCGTACGATTGGATGTTGATATGAACGACTTGTCTTCAGACGTCGCGAGGTCATTTTGGTCGCCAAGAGGTTTTTGATGATGCACTAAAAACCTCCTGGCGACCGATTTGGTCGCAAAGAGTTCGCGAGAAACCGCAACAAGTATTTCATTGTTCGCTAGTAGGAGGGCGAGTATCGCACGACAGGTTTCGGTGGTCGCGGGCCTAGTCGGGAGCGGTCGGCGGTCGTATGCAAGTCGCCGATAATCGCACGACGTTCTTCCCAAGATCAGCAACCAGTCGCGAGACCACCAAGGTTCGATCGCCGAGCAATCGCACGATGGTGGCCGATTGCACGGCACTAGTCGGAAATTAGTCGACGACAGTGGTACGGACATCTCAGATCTCATACCGACCCTTATCACACGGCCGCGAACATATGTAGTGCTCTCACTTTGAGATCAGCCGTAGACGATGAAGGGGATGCGTAAAAATCGTCCATTTTCAGTAGATTTTCAAATAAAAACATCGCAATAAGAAATAAGAAATGATGCACCGCCTACTATATAGTGCCTCTCACGAGTCGGAGGTGGGATCCGACCCAAAAATACTGACCATTCCAGGCGGCCCAGCTCCAGAACATGAGGGACACGACACGGAACGTGACCAAGAAAAAGAAAATTGCTGAACAGTTGACTCTGGAAAAGAACGAGATCTTAACCATCGCCGGACATATTGGTTTTCTTCTACGCGCCGGCGAAGGGGGGGGGGGGGGCGGGTACGACCCCCCTCCCCGTTTCGCCTCTGATGGAGCTAGCGCGTCTCAGGAAAAACAAGCGTGTGCGCCGTTACGAGATACAGTTATTGACACCCGATTATAAGGTCTTAGGTCAACCGGTGACATCTTACGTCAGGTCAAGTGCCAAAGTTATGGGTTCAGTTTTTGATGAATAACTTGGCTAAAAGAGGCCGCAAAGCCGCGATTTTGACATCATCGTGTTCGCCTTGTTGAGACTTGTCGAATGATATACTTTTTGTTGGGGTTGAACTCCGGTCACGGTCAGGCCAGGGCTTACAGGTCACGAAGTTTGTCGAATGAGGTCATGTCGCATATCTTTTAATTTGGCAGGTCTTTTAAGTCCATTGGTGGCTCTCCCGACTCGCTAGTTCAATTGGATCGGGAGTTATTGACGAAAAACTAATATGGCCCTAGTGACGTCATTAACAATGCAAAAGTGACGGATCGCATGATTTCATGAGAGTGCATGAAATCACGATTCGATATGCTTGGGGTTGGGATAGCTTAAGATCTTTCCCAGCGTCAAAATAGCAGTTTTTATTTTCCCCCATTGACTTGAAATGGTGAGGTCACGTAACCGACCTTTCGTCATGTGACCTTTAGGAAAAATCTGAGATGTACAAGTTGTGAGACCTCTACTACGTCCTGTAAGTTTAATCTCCTTGTGAAAGCTCCTCTGGCACTGAGAGCGTTGCGAAGTTGCGACCTCTGAAGATCGTGCAGAGGTTCACTTCTGACGCCATAGGTCAATGACCTGACCTGACCCGAAAATGCGGCTGGTGTCAAAATATAACCTGCCGATTTTCAAAATTCGAATGGCATTCAATTCCCTCAACGTGATCTACATTTTGAAGAATGGAAGTCCAAAAAACGCAAAAAGGTAGGAGGGGGATAGAAACTACACATTTCAGATGCTTTTTCAACTCCTCACCATGGCCATGTTTTTCAACCAATTTTGACGCAACTACTGCCGATCGATGCAGGATGAATCAGAATTTGACATTTATTATAAAAATAAGCATTTCGAAAATTAATAGCCGGATTCCTACAGGTTATGAAATTTGGAGGCACATTAAATACATAATCAATCGGATGTTTTGTTGGTGCTGTCACCAAAACGGGCTGGCAAATTAATAATCTCATTATGATACAAAAACATGTGATAAAATGCCTAAATTAGATTGAATATTCATAGGCGGCATCAGGGCACCGAAGGTGGAAGGTGACATACCTATACCTTCTCTCCTCTTCCCTGGAACCGTCTACGATCCGTTTCTTGTTCACTTCTAAAGCTGTTATACCTACAAATAATGTTGATATACCTACATAATGAATAATTACAGTTATAATGCATCAGCATCGTGATCTTTAACTAAATGACTCGCTTCACGAATAGGACCTCCCGATTCCCCATGCCCTGGAACCTCCCCTGATAAAGATATCAACTTAAAATTTTCAGGAAAAGTGCCCAGCTTAGTTTTAAGAAAAGTCAGAAAATTTCGGCATCCTAGCTCCAGTCGTTTTGAAGATATTTCCGAAAAGCTCAGGGATGGACGTAAACAGCCCCCCCCCCTTGCCACTTATTTGGTTAGCGGAACATCCGCTCTTTACCAATCGTGCGGCAATCGGCGATAGGTCTTGAACAGATCTTCAGTCGTCAGCGGCCAGTCGTTACCTATCGCATGACGTACTCACGGCTGTCACCGAGTTTCGCACGTCATTCGTGCGACTCATGTCCCAATTTTTTCTTGGTTCGGCAAACTTCGTACGATGGTCTGCCACCGCTTGTGCGATTAGTCGTACGATGATTGCCGACCCTTTATATATGTAGGTAACCGTAATTGCGATGGATCTGCAGCATTCGGTGATGGTCGGCGGTGGTCGGCAATGATTTGGGTCGTAGGCGGTCGTAAGTGGTCGCAACGCCTAGTGGGACCGGGGCTTAAGCATCAGTTTTTTACAAGTCTGAAAGAATGGTTCAATTTAGCACGTTTCAGCAAAATTGTTATTTCTGACATTTTGTGTACGCTTCAGTGTGTTTTTCGGCAGCTAAGCGTTTATCAATCCTCGAATGACCTAACGCTTTTCCATACTTGAACCGGGGTATATGTTCTAACCTATGGTAGGTATATGTTACCTGACTTGGGAAGGAAGAGACTAGAGAGGATCCATCGTCGTTTCTCCCCTTATTGAGCTAGAACTCAGAAAACCATGCGTTTGCGCTGTTGAGCGACGTAGCGACGAGTATCTAATTTTTAGGTCTCAGGTCAACCGTTGACCTGTGAGGTCAGACCAAAAATGCTGCGGACATCGTGTGGTTTACGGTAACTTATACTGTACCGTACAAATGGTCGTACGTGATAAACGTCAGGGGATGGCATCAACCCCTCGGCCGGGAAGATTTCAATATTGCCTCAAAATATTAAGCATGTATAGTATACCTAATAGGCAATTAATTTGCCCTTTAGGCTAGTAACAATGTCTGTAATGCCCAATAAGTTTTCTATCCAAATCCAAAGGCCAAACCTAGATCCGTTTATCTGTAGACGATCCGTAAATCCTTATGTAATACCGATACAAACTCATGCAAACTCAGCGTCCGAACGAACGCTGTATCGATAGGTATTACATAAGGCAGCAACGATTGTCTTCCAGACGGCTGCGCTCGACCACGATACACTGTCTATGAAAGAACCATATCCCGGCACCATATTGCAACAGCCTCCTTGATGTAGGTATATGTGAAAGTACGTGCTTAAATACTTCCAAATAAAGTTGCTGCACTCGCTCATGTTCTGATTCATCCTGACGAGCGTATATTCCTGGAACCCCTTCAGTCCGTGAGTCGTGAGCTCACTCCTCTCTAACGTATTCCTCATCGAGAAACTACCCAATCCCAACAGTTTGCCTCCAGCCTCAAGCCTCCCCGTATCCGTGATCGAGTCCTCTCTCTCTCTCTCTCTCTCTCTCTCTCTCTCTCTCTCTCTCTCTCTCTCTCTCTCTCTCTCTCTCTCTCTCTCTCTCTCTCTCTCTCTCTCTCTCTCTCTCTCTCTTCTCTCTCCAGCCTCCCCCTGCACCCAGTGGGTCTCCCCGCATACACCCGTCTGGGGCCGGCGCGGTGTTGACTTCGTCGCGGGTCGGGCGGCACCTCCTCGCCTGGCACTGGCGGAGGTGCCCGTTCCGGCGGCTCTCGCTGACCATATAGGGGTGCCGGTCGCCCACACATACCCGCACAAAACCGGCCAGCGAGGAGCGCCGTCCGCCGCCCGCCGCTGGAGCTATCGGCGATCAACCGCAGGCCATACAGGCTCGATCGGCCGCGGTCTATACTGGGTGTGTTTAACTAGCTAGACCAGGAAAGTAACGGTGAATTGACGATGTTTGCTGAAGGTGACAGGATTTCAAGAATTTTTGACAATTTGCCTAGTTTATCGCATGCGCTTGCCTTCTGGTGTATTGGATATTCTACTCACTCTAGTGGTCGGTGACTTGGCCTGGATTCATTCAAATGGATACTTTTATTACCTCACTCTTTGGCACATTCCACATTCAAAGCATGAACAGCTGCACTTACATAACACACCCAGATGTATCTTCACAGACAATGGCGTTCCTTTTACAGTTGCCGCGCTTTTGTTGACATACCTATGTCACAGGCGATGCGACATACGGCAGACATGCATACTCGGAGATGTCCAGTGACGAATCTGTGTTGTAGCAGAACACTCCCATACAAATGGACGGAATGACATGGACGGAAGATACAGATTACCCATTCCCAGAATGGGTGCAACATCCACATAGAACATTGATGCGGTATGCGTATAGCCTTCAGAGTCCATGCCCGTTTGAGGCCTTTTATGTAGAAGCTAGTGGAACACTCCTTTTTCGTAGCGCTGTTACCCGGCACCTCCACAAAAGGGTCGTAGAATACGAGATCAAAACGATCGGGTATTGGAAGCGAGATAACAAACTGTGCTTTCACCACCGTAGAGATATGGACTCGTGTACATATTTTATCCGTTGTGTGCGATAAAATACCGGAATCGATTCAGGATAGCCTTACGCCCGCAAATAGATATTGTCAAACAATTGCATCTTGCGGAGCAATGAGACCGATACTCTCTCTGTAAGTTAGTTCGAACATGGACGGAGAAGTGCAGGATACAATAAAATACGTTACAGCTGGCACCTGCCACGGTCCAACTTGGAACAATTCATTTCTCCTTTTTGGCACGTTGCTCATTTCTCATTCTAATCAACAGCCACGAGTCATCTCTCGGCGTCAACAGGTATGTAAAACAAGAAACACTTAGAATCCAGAAACCGATCACCAAGCTCTCCACGACCTGATGACTCAGCTTGCTGTTAGACGCTCCAGTCAGCGATGGGTCGACATCAGGGGAGCCACCGCGCTGCCGCGACACGATATGAAGCCGAGGAAGACCAGGTAGCCAGCCAGCACCGCCAGACCGCCCACCTGGCGAGAAGGAAGGTCATCTGGGCTAGGTCGTAATGGGTGGTGTTCCAACATTTTCTATTGTCTTGCAATTTGTAAGAGGCAATGGTTTTATCGTATTTTGTTTCTTGTTGCTAAAAAAATGATGGTAGAGCCCGATCATTTTTTGCCCAAAGTCGCAATAATGTAGAGTAGAAGGCGTCCTTATACTCACCAGACTACAGGTGACCAGCCCCGCACAGCCGACCTCCAAAATAACAATCGACTGAAACAAAGACATTTTCAGATTTATCATTTTCACTTAGTAGTTGACTCGTACCTCGTTGAGAAATGCTGATTTATGAGCACTGACCTAATGCAACAATTCGATAACTTTTGAAGGCACTCAATGAAGTGACATCCGCAAAGCATACAACTTCAGCGAGTCGTAAATCTTTATTCGGCCTTAAGTCAACATAAAAAAGTGTAGGTAAGTATCATTGTTACATGTGTTAAGTATAAGCTCCACGGCACACTTTTTCGGCTTTTCACTTCGTTTTTTCACTTTTTCGGCTTCAGTAGACGATCAGTTTCACTTGATAACATTGGTGAAGCCCCACGGCAGCGAAGCCGAAAAAAAAACGAAATAAGCAACTCGAAAAGATGACGCGAAAAATTCGAAAAAGCGACTCTAAAAGCGAAAAAGGGACTCTAAAAAATCGAAAAAGCGAAAAAAACGAAAAAGTGATCCGTGTAGTTTGACCTTTACTGTTCGAATAGGAAGCTCGTGCCTCGTCGTACATATGTTTTCTTCACCTGCCAGCGATGTCGAGTGATGACGTCATCAGAGACCTGCCAGTGTTGCGTCACTGTCCAGAGTGGCGCCAATGAAGAGGCGTTCTGGCCCGTGTATGACGTCCAAGTAATGCTCCGTGACCAGATGTGTCCTGATAGAGGCTCCACCAGAACCTGTGAATCGTGGAACCGTTCGATGGACAGGTAGAAATGCAAAAGGCGAATCCATTTATCAGAAGAAAACAAAAAAAAACTAGCTACGTTATTACTGGACTGGTAGCATGGCAGGGCAGCCCAGCTGCTCTGAGTTTAGCTCAGACCACAGTACTGCATGAGACCTTTGGGATATATTCGCTCAGTGATTGGTGCTGTTGCTGATCAAGTGGTCCCAGTTGAATCCACTCGGCGAACTCGGATACGTCCCGCATATCGTGCAGCGAAGCGTTGGACTCTGGAATGAAGCAAAGCGTCCATTATTGTAAGTTATTGTAAGCAAGAAAGCCACATCATGTACTTACAGCATCTGTTATAATAAAATAATTGTTAACCCTATTCCTGGCGGGCTCCGCCGGGACAAGAAACTGGCGGGGGGGGGGCCGATTCGGCCCCCCCCTGAGATCTCGAGAACGAAGCAAGATAGCGACAAGCGGTAAACGGCATCGGATACGCATGGACAAGGTCTACAATTTTTACTAAGGTCATTTTCAGGTCAGGTCAAAGATGACGTCACAGGGGTCGAAAAAGTCAAAATGGCGGCGCTAGATATGGAGAGTTTTTCTCGAATAACTTTCGAATTAGTCAAGATAGGAACAAACTAAGGGCATCATCGTGATCCTCTCGTCAATCCGCATCGAATGATATATATGTTGACCTCGAAAGGTCAAGGTCAAAGGTTGACCTCAGGTCACGTGACCTCGAGGTCATCATGTATATCATTCGATGCGTCTTGACGAGCTGAACACAATGAGACCATCCACGCGTCTGTATCTTGTTCCTGTACGGAGTTATTGGCCAAAAACCTTTGGTGACCTTTGATGACGTCACATGACCTCACAGCTGCCCAACAGCAAAACAGACCTCAAGGTAGTGAAGGTTGATCGTATATGAAGTCATGTATGGTATATGGGGCCATTCCGACCCGTTTTAGTGGTAAAAACAGGGAGTTGATTTTTCCCCCAATGGGGAGGTCGCGAAACTGACCTGACCTTAGGTCACCGATATCAAAATTCCGAGATATACAAATTGCACATACTGGTACCCTACCTAAAGCCTGAAGAGAAGAAATTGATCGGTCAAAAATTCTAGCTCTGGCGTGATTGCAAACTTTTCTGAGGTAGGGTCACCAAACCGCCTCTGGTGACCTGACCTGAGGTCAGATCAACTCAAAATTTTCAGACATGTTGCGTAGAAGCCTTTTAGGAAAAGTCAGAAAATTTGAGCTTCCTAGCTCAACGCGTTTGGGAGAAATAACCAAAAAACCTCAGGGGGGGGGGCTCCTGAGGCCCCCCCGCCAGGAATAGGGTTAAGTCGACTTGTCACAGGGACAGAACCCTATAAAGCAACAGATTGACCCTGCGAGTTAAGCAAATCGCTGAAGCTTTTCAACCGGCCTCACTCTCGAGCCGTAACTATAGGTAGCTACGATAATAGGAGCTCACCTGGCGCTGTGAGCTCCATCAGAGCCACCTGCCCCAGCGAGGCGCTGCGTCCGGAGCGGACATACTGCAGGGGACGCCACACACGCGGCTCGTAGATAGCCGCAGCGTCGGCGGTCGTGGCGCTCCGACCACAGGCCGTCACGTGAGTGGCCGGAGGAAGAGAGCTGCTGAAGCCGGCTGTGTGCCGAGGCAGTCGCCGGCCCGACACCGTCACCCGGTCTGAGGGAGGAGAGGAATGTGTCGAGGGAGGTGACCGCTGAGCTTATCGATCTAAACAGAAAAGCAGGAGAGGTCAAGGGAGCTCTCTGAGAACAAGGGAACTACAGTCAGGGTCCGAGAGATCATAACAAGAGACTATCCAATCTAGTCGTATGAATTTTGAGCTCTGCGCACGTCATCTCTCAATACAGAATTGTGACCAGCTGGGGGTGCTCGGGCGCAGCAAATCCGCCGCCGCCTAGCGGTGACCTTGACCCGCGCCGCCCGGCCGCGGCTCCAAAGCCAAGCCGGCGTGGCCGGCGTGGAATTGGGAGAGCTCGAGCACCCCCAGTCCAGCACAATTCTCCACCCGTGTCCTGTCGCGATGTTTCATGATTTGCTCTCCAGTCTCCCGCGAGAGTCGTATCGTTCAATAATCTGCCGTTTCCATTCGAACTTCTGCCCGCCCATCCTATCCGCCCCGAGCCGTGCGCTCATCTCCTTGCCCGACAAGCTATCTTCCGGGCCTCCCACGTCCTCCACCATCCATCTGATCTGTCGTATCCTCTCTACAGTCCGCCCGATCACCCGGCGCAGCTCCCCCGTCCTCCCCAGCTGCCGTGTCACCGCCACCGACACCATTTTGCGGCGCTAATTATCGGTGTTCAGAGGAGCGTGCGGCCACGGCGGCGGGGACGTTCCGTTCCACGCGGCACGAACGTTGTCTCGGCGACATTAATGACGTCGGCTGGAGAGCCGCAGTCGACCTCAGGGGATCAATGATCGGGGCTGCACATCGATCAGTGCACCGAGCCTGTGGTCTCTCTCCGATGGAGACCGGGGAGATCCGACAGAGGATAATGCTCCCCCTCCCCCGAGCGGAGGGGAGAGGACGAAAGCGCATGTGATGTGGCAGGAGGAATGCAGGTATGCTAGATATGAGTATGCATTGCGACGTAATGCCTGTATCGATGCTATTATATTATCTGGGATATTAGGTGTACGGGGTTTACTGCTAAGGCTTACCTAACAACGCAGCTCACACACATATCTGGAAAATGATTACAAGGGAAATCTAGTTACACAGGTATCGAAGGATCCGGAAGGATGATTGGAATTAGGGGGAGACATTAGTCTGGACAGGAACCCTAGAGAGTCGCCGGGGCTGAGCCCGTCCGAATGGACAGGCCGACCAGCCCCCCCCAAAAAAAAACTACTCTCTGCACCCGGCTACGGGTATTGCTTCCCTGGGAGCAGCGGTGCCGCTCCAAGGGAGCAGCCCGCATGAGATAAAGGTGCCTGTCCAGCCCGGAGTCGGGGTTGCGGCGTGGGGGAGAAGGATTTCAGTATCCTGAGGAAGGAAGCGACGGAACGGTGCCCACACCCCCGCGGCCCTGCCTTACCGTGCCAGAGCAGGTTGCTCTCCTTGGACCTGTTGTAGAGACAGGTGGACAGGCTGCGCAGCGAGGCGTGTCTCCGACTGTGTTGTTCGGACTCGTGGTGCCGTAGTGCCCCGGATATCCAGCCGTCCTCCAGCACTGTCCTCTCGGGCAGGTCCCAGCAACTGACGCTGTTGTTGGTGAACAGGGCCGTGCGCAGGCGGAAACCCAGCGCCATCTGTTGGGGACACGCGCAGATTTTTTATACGATTTACTATGTGATAATTCATCCACTATGCATTCATTCATTCATTCATTCATTCAGTGTATTTTGGTAACCACGAACAAAAAATATCGGCAAAAATAATCGCGGATCGGCGCAAAAGCAAAATGCTTAAATCAAAGCGCCTTTCCCACAAAACATAAGCACAAAAAACACACAAAAAAGGAAATATTAACACAAAAATTAAGTGCAAAGTAAAACCACCTGGCCACAGGTCACGACGGCCCCGCCAGCAGCCCGCCGAGCAGCCCTCCGGGCATAGTCAACAGGTGTCCGGGCCCCGGGCAGCAGCAATCTGGTACGATGTCGTGTAGTGTGTGTGTGTGTGTGTGTGTGTTATTGCTGTGTGTGCGTGTTGAAGCGTTGAGTATGTACAATGTATGCATGGAGATGATGCGTTATGCTGATTCCCTGGTTCTCAGTAAGATCATGGCCGAATAGGATTGCGCTAAGCTTGCGTTTGTAGGAAATGTTTTCGAAGTTTGGTATGATTGTTCGCGCCGCGTTAAGGAGGAGTGATCTTTGGTGTGTATATAGGGGGCACCGGAGTATGTAGTGGGCAGTGTCTTCTTGGTGATGTCCACATGCGCATGCTGGGCTTTGTGCAAGTTGGTACTGATATAGATGTGCATGTAGATGTGATAGACCGACTCGTAGTCTGGTGTGGTATGTGTTGGCCATTTTGGTCCCTACTGAATGCAGTGTTGGTGGCTCCGGTGCCCCAAATCGCTGCCAGACTTGACGAGTGAATTCACGGCGGGATGGGGTATTGCGAAGGGTTTCAGGAAGAAGATTCCATTGCCGAATGGTGGTAGGGATAAAGGACTTGCGGAAGGATGTTAAACGGGTAGTAGGGACTGAGAGAAGTTGGGCTTGGCGTAGTCTTAGTCCCGTAGCTCTTTGTCTCGTGTTTGTTATGAGGTTTGTCAGGTATGAGGGGAGGGGAGGGTCGTTGTAGAATAGTCGATGGAAAAATATCAGTCTGTGTATGCGTCGTCTGTCTGCCAGTCGTTCCCAGCCTAAATCTTTAAGTAGTGCGTCAGTAGATGTTCGAAATAGGGCCCCAGTCACCAGTCTTGCGCAGCGATTTTGTAAAGTTTGCAGTCTCGCTGAGTCGAACAAGGTCAAGTGTCCATCGTAAATAATGTCGCAATAGTCGAAGTGTGGTCTAATGTATGTCGTAATCAAGTCATTCAGCACACGTCTCGGTAAGAATTTCGCAATAGGGTAAACTGGTCCTAAATGATAGTTCACTGTCTTGATGATCGAATTTACATGTTCGTGGAAATGTAGGTCAGTGGAAAAGGTGAGGCCGAGATGTTTGTGACTTGTTGAACTTGGTATTCTTTGTCCGTTAAACTTTAATTCGGGATTTGAGTTATTCTGTTTGTTTGTAAATGTTTGCAATACTGTTTTTTGTGCACTAAAAGTAATAGCCCATTCTGATCCATATTTACTGATATTGTCTAAGTCGTTTTGTAGGGATTGTAAATGTGTTTTGCTGTTCTGTGGATAGGAGGAATATAAAGAAGTATCGTCTGCATAGAAAAGAGTTTCGTTTGTTGTTTTGTTTGATAGGTCATTAAGGTACATCAGGGCGAGCAGAGGCCCAAGAACCGAGCCTTGAGGGCAGCCTGCCATAATTTTTTGTGGATGAGAAAAACTGTTGCCTATGCGTACTACTTGGGTTCTGTCTGAAAGGTAACAAGTTAGCCATGATAACAGTGAGCCGGATATACCGTATTGAATTTCACATTTTGCAAGAAGTGCTTCATGCCAAATTTTATCAAAATATTTAGAAATATCAAGGAAAATTGCAGTGAAATTTTTGTTGTTATCCAGGGCCGATAACTTTGCATCATACACAAGGCAGAAGACATTTCGACCGAGACATAGCGTATCTGTATGCATTTATACCTAAATGCATTAATTTATTATGTGCATAGGAATGGTGAGCTGATAATTTGTTTATCTTTTTCTTCGATTTCAACTTTCATCGAGCTATGCGTTGAAGTATAATCACCTATTTATGAAGCAAAACAAAAAAGCAAATAGCTATAACAGTTGCATTGTTTATTCAATTCCTTTATTACCCCGACATCAATCATTTATTCATTTGTACGGTTTCTATAATAGCAAGCCGTATCGAGGCGGGCTCACCTCAGCGACGAAACCTAGGCGGAGTGCAAGATACGGGACTAATAGAGCCGCCTACCTGACTGACGGGGCCGCGCAGGGTGTTTGTTAGCAGGTTCAGACTGGAGACGTCAGCCACCGCCTGCTGAAGCCGCGGCGCTAGTTGGAGAACTAGACTGAGCAGAGCTGATGGTGAACTCCTGCCCACCTGAAACCGGTAGTCGGGATCAAAATAGCGCCGAATTCCCCTCCGGCCAACCGATAAGTGCATTATTCAGCTTCATTTTAGGGTTCTAATATCATTGTTCGTGAATAATCGCTGGGTACATTCGGTCTTTTTACATTGATGTCAGTGCTTTCATGCCAGTGGCATGGAACAAGGGATTCACACAAATATACCGTTATTAACCCGCGCCCTGCTGGGGGGGGGGGGGTGTTTGAACACCCCCCCTTGTGGTTTTTCGCGAATATCTAAAAAACGGCGCCGCGAAGCGCCGCCGTTTTTGGTACAATTTATCATACATCAATTCTACACATGTTGTGAAAATTTCAGACCAAGGTCATTCAAGGTCAGGTCACCAGGTCACTTGAAATGGCCTCACCTCATAAAAAGTTTCAATGTCTGTCATAGCTACACCGAGTGACCGATCGCTTTGAAACTTTCAGAGATTGCTAAGAGCAATAGCATGTACAAAATGTATATCTCAGAATTTTGATATCGATGATCTAAGGTCAGGTCAATTTTGCGACCTCCACATTATAAGTCAATGGGATAAAATTGAAATGCGCCTCTTTTGGACAAAAGACATTATAAACACTCCCAAACACCGAATTACAAGTGGTTTAGACACACTGAACATGAAAATGGTGTCCGTGACCCTTGTTTATGCCCTGAGGTCATCTTAGGTCACGAATGGTATCTAACAGTTTTTCGCAAATAAGTTTTGATAGAGGCATGCTAAAGCGATGAAAACGCCTTAGATGTGTTCAGCTCGACGATACGGATCGACTGATATGCAACATGACCCTTTCCGGTCAGGTCATGACCTTGACCTGAGGTCAAATTTTCAAGTTGAGCTTTCAAGGTCAAGTTACAGTTCATTCGATGAGTCTTGACGAGAGGAACACAATGCCGGTAAAAAGAAGCTCGTACAAGGCTTGGGTCAAAAGTTATTGCAGAAAAACTGTTTCCGAAAAAATCGGCTATTTTTCCAGTTTTTGCCCCCTGCAGGCAAAACCGTTGACGTTAGGTCAAATCTGAGAAAATTACTCAGAAAGGGCGTTAATAGGGCTATCGAATGCGCTTTTCCGCGGCGCTGTAGCGCTATTGGTTCTCGAGTTATGCGTTGGCTTCTTGGAAATTTTCGACATTCGACCTGGAACTCGGCGAAATTTTGCCTTCAATGACCTCTGGTGACCTGACCTTTGACCTGACCAAAAAATTGACCGAAGTGATTTCGTCATTATTTTTGACGCTCTTTCGAACGCCGCCTTCTGCGTAACGCTACGTGGCCAGGAGCCGAGTTACAAGGGGGGGGGGTGTTCAAACACCCCCCCCCCCCCCCAGCAGGGCGTGGAAATCCAGGACCCCCAGCTGGGCGCGGGTTAAAGACATACGAACAAATTATCATCAAACGTTCGCACCTGAGAGTAGTTGGAGTGGCAGCAGAGCAGCTGAACGGTGACATTCGCCACCCTCCCTCTCTGCGTCTCATTCAGCCGGCTGTGACGCTCCACGAAGAACCACACATCACAGTGTGCGGCCTCCCCCGTCCTGTACTCCTTACACCACTCCTCCGTCACAACCGCCTCCCTCAGCACTCTCTTCCACACCTCATCACACACTCTGTCAGTGAGCGGGGCCCGCACCACTCCCGCTGGCTCCTCCAGCAGCCGCAGTGCTGGTACCAGCAGCTCGGGAGGCGCCAGCCGCAGCAGTTTGGAGTCCAACGCCACCAGTCTGCAGGTCAGCAGACTCACGGACGTCGGTCGGTCGGTTGGGGCTCCTCGCGCCGGTGGGACGGCAGGACGAGACACCTGTCGAGTTGACCGCGAGTGTAGCAGCGCACGTGCCATGGCAGCGATGTGCCTTCGTAGGTAGACCGCCTCGGATCCGGCGAACGGAGCCAGCAACTGCTGACGTACCGTGCTGACCACCGTGACCTGATCCGAGGGAGGGGAGGGGGAGATTTTAACACGGAATCTTGTGCTGAAGGTTAGATAATTGCGTTTTTTTACGTCATTTTAGAAAGATAGTAATCGCAGCAACAAATAAAAGAATATATAACTTTATCTGTAACGTCATCCTTTCCTCAATGCTCTTTCCCTCTCTTTTCTCGCTCTCGCTCTCTCTCTCTCTCTCTCTCTCTCTCTCTCTCTCTCTCTCTCTCTCTCTCTCTCTCTCTCTCTCTCTCTCTCTCTCTCTCTCTCTCTCTCTCTCTCTCTCTCCTCTTTCTCTATCCACCTTCAACCCTTTTCTCACCTCGTCGTGGTCATGGCAGGTAGCACAGTGGCGTCGTGTCCCGTCCTCGTCAAACCGATATTGTGAGTACACTCTGAACAGGAGCAGCCCATCACGGCCAGAGAGATCCACTTTCCTCTCGTCACTGGTGAACACGTACGGGCCAAACCTCTGTCGGAAGTAACATACATGATGTGGCTGAGACATTTACTCGTATTCGAGGAAAGACATTTCGGCACTTTGTTTCGGCTGGACGACCGGCAGTTTATATTTGAATGTTAGTCGACGAAATACGGATCAAGAGGATGTATGTACCTGTACATACACTATTCAGTGTAACCCTTGTATTGTTTTTCCAAGGACCGCCAAAGAAAATTACCAAAAACAATGAAAGCCTAGAGGCAATGCGCTAGATGAAGAAGGGTATTGCTATGGAATCATAGGCATCAGGCTGGCCTATTACAAACGAATGGAGTTTGAAAAAAGTTTTTTGATTACAAAAGTACCAACAACATATTATTGGTCATACCTATTTCTATGCCTACAGAAAGAATACACCGCTATCGATGTTGTTTTTCTCACTGAGAATGACAATACAATAGCAATGCAAATAAGACCATAAACTTTAAATAGACTTTAAAAGTGTTCCTAGCCCTGCTCCTATTCGTGCCTTTCCATTACGCTTAGTCGTATTTGTCTGAAATGGCGCCTCTCCATTTCAGTTGCTCTTATTTACATTGTTACCGATTTGCTTTCAAATACCTACCTCGTATTCAAGAGACAACGGGAAAACAAACGCAGTTGGTTACTTGTATGCCAGCAACGTCGTTAACTTGTCACTAGCGTATAATTTCGTAATGATTGTAGACGGTCCATAATGAACTCATCAGCTTTGGAATTGCTAGCATTTTCTTGCCATTAACCTTGCCATTATGAAGACTGGCAATTTAGAACTTATTCAGTGCCGATTAACTCTAGGGACCGGCGCTAAATATGCCGGCAACGTATCAGCTGATCGATTTTTTTTTACCCACATCCCTTGAACTTGAACGGTGGAAACAATTAGTGCAAGCATGATGCTTATAAGTAAACGATGAAAATGCTATATATTTACTATAATATATTTTAGAATATTTGGGAAGCAGGTTCTCTCTGATGCATATGTCATTAAACACGACAGTATGTTTGGTGTTAAAAAAGCTGAATAACACCAAACATGCTGCATCGTGTTTAATGACATTTTTATATATATATATATATATATATATATATATATATATATATATATATATATATATATATATATATATATATATATATATATATATATATATATATATATATATATATATATATATATATATATATATGTTACAGGCAAAGTGAAAACTCGGGCATTTTGCAAAATGCCTAGGCAATTTGCAAAATGCCTGACCGGCTAGGCATTTTGCAAAATGCCCAGGCAATTTGCAAAATGCCTGACCGCCAGGCATTTTGCGAAATGCCTAGGCAGTTTGCAAACTGCCTGACCCACCAGGCATTTTGCAAACTGCCTAGGCAGTTTGCAAAATGCCTGGCGGGTCAGGCATTTTGCAAAATGTCTGAGTTGTGATTGATTTATTTTACCGTTTTTGTTTACCACAGGCGTTGACCATGTCGCTCCCATGTGCCTGAGCCCCAAACACATTCAATATTGTACGAATATACCCACGTCTTGCGCCACTTCCGTCGAGATGGAACCACTACTGAATGGTGTAGATTGAGCCAACGTCTCCTTATAATTTTCGTATACGGAGTTGTAGCCGTTCGTGTGTAGGAATGCTGCGATGGGGCGCGGAGCATGGCACAGAGAAACATGGGCGCGGAAAAACGCGGCGACCGGTCGAATATTGACCCGACATTCTTCGCTTCCCGTGCTTATTTACATCACGGCAAGAGAGGGCCGCAGCGACACGGGGTTGCCAGCGATCGATAGAACAGAGACAAGCGTATCCAATAAACATTTTTGTTAATCACGTGTCACGTGGAAAGAAATTGTCTATATCTTGAGAAATCAGCCATTTTTGGTACATTTCAGGAAAAACAGCATTTAAAAAACAATGGCAATGCATTGGAATGAGATGAGATACGTTCCATAGACAACAAGAACATGTGGCTTTTCCGCTTTTCCAGAAAAGCAAGTTTTTGGTCATCCACGACCCACGTGCACACCTTTGTAATAAAAAGACGCTTAGGCCTTACACTGAAAACAATTTAACCCAAGGCTGGCAAGTAAACCGGTGTTTTACGGGTACCCCTATCCGCAACCATTTTTAACCACCCTCCCAGGAGTAGTGCTAGGTCCCATTGCGGTGTAGTCGTACTTGCTCTGAGCGGATATAACCGCTGTCAGCGAATAAGTCCGCTTAGAGCAGGGACGACTACACTGCAATGGGACCTTACTGTACATACTCCTGGGAGGGTGGTTAAAAATGGTTGCGGATAGGGGTACCCGCAAAACACCGGTTTACTCGCGGGCCTTGGGTTAAATTGTTTTCAGTGTAGAAATTACAAGTTTTACATGCAACGGGCATGTTCATCTTTACACAGTCACAGGCCGTTTTCACGACGGAACTTTCGCAGAGGAACTTATTTGATACCTAAAAAGTACCTACCCTTAGAGGCCTTAACATCCCTCAAACTGAAATATTTTATGTTCAAAATAATTTTAGAAGTTTAAATCCGGGCATTTTTTTGCCCTCAAATCACTTATTTATTTACAAACACAGCAATTTTTGGTTCTAGTAGCCCACCTTTCGACTATGAGGTATTAAATCAGCGTGGCAACTTGCTCCCTCTTTGCTCCCCCGGGTATCTAATTCCGGAATTCTTAAAAACAAGGAAAGTATATATCGAGTTCTCTTTTATACCTATTCAGTTATGTTTTAATGGTGATTAAAATATGACAAATTTTTTAATTACATTTCATATAAGAAAACACGCAAAACAATGAAACAAAAATAACTACGGCAGATAATTACCTTCAGGTATCTAATTCCGACCAATCAGCACCTCAGTAGGATATGACGTCATACAAGAATGGTGGTGAAGGCCGTTTGCAGTCCCGGCCGGTAGGTCACGTGACCGCCGGGCGCCTCGGGTCACGCGGCGGTCGGGAGTCGGACGCGGGGCGTGGTCGCGGGCGGGCGCGCGGGGCATCATGCTTTGCTTTGCTTGCTTTGTCAACTTCATATAACTTACTATCGCATTCGTGTGAAAGCCAAACACTGCTCAGTGCCCTTAGAAATTGAGTTTTGGAAAGCTCAAGTCCCTATAGCTCCTCAGGTCGGCAACAGTTGAAGCCTCATCTGAACCCATGTGAAAAAAAACGAGGGTAAGGAACCTTGTGTTGCTTTTTCTTTTACCGTCATAATTATCTCAAACCATCACAATTTTGAGTTGCCACATTGTCTGCTTCACTACATTCGTGTAAAACTTGGGTGAAGGCTGGTGGCTCAAAGAAAGGTGAAGATATTTCTTTAAGTGCCTAATCCGTGAAATATCCCGGCTTTACAAATCTACACTTTCATTTTCTCCACGATACATTTTTTAAAACTGTTTAAATTTAATCTACATTTGTTAAAATCGGGGCTTTGGTTTTGTGCAAACTAGATCATAAAGTTTACTATAGTTTTGTGTAACCTGATGGCTGAAGAAAATAGTAATTTTGCTAAAATGATGTGCGGAAATTTGTTGCTTTCCAAATCAAATTACTCATACCTATATTTCATTCAAAATTAGGAGGCATTATTACTGTTTTTTCTTGTAACATGAACTGAGTTTGGGTACGGTGCTCCGGAAACGTTGTGGAACTTTAAGCTAGCTAGAGCAGTTTCCATAAAAATTGTTTAGATAGTTGACATGGCTTGTTGACAACTCTTTTGCTGTTTCTAAAAAAGTGGAAAAAATATTTTCCTGCATTAAGCACACAAGGCATGTTATTCTCATAAGCTATCGAATGTGTGTGTGTGTGTTTTTTTTTAAGCTGTTTTTTTTAAAGCTTTTAAGCTGTAACTTCAGTTACTTCACTTTAGAACATATTGCCCAGAATGCGTCACTGATCATGAGCTGGTATATCATATCATATGTAGCAAATACATAAATGAGAATAGTGTGTCATGAATTTTTGTGCATGCTTCTGGATCATCTGTAATTACATCAAAGGCTCGGCTCAAGAGTGTCCTGCCGACCAGCTTATGCCCAACCCTTTCTGTCCGCAGAACGTCGCCTGCGACTCCCGCACGCCGTTTGCCCCGGCCGTCCGTACTGGTCTTCGCGCTGCGAGCCGCGCTGGAGTTCGCGGCGGCGTCGTGGAGCTCCCATCGGGACGGCGTGTGATGCCCGCGTCGAGCTTATAAGCCGTGAGCTTCGATTGGCGGCTCACGCGGTCACCAGCTGTATGTACAGCCTCGGCCCCGACGACCCCGCTAATGGCCGAGACCGGCATACCCCCGGCATGGGTCCGCTGTCCGGCGCAGCGCTGGCCGCCCGCATGCTATGCTACTTTTGGCTGTATCGCTGCCCAGCGGGAGCGCGCTCCACGCTGCGGAAGAGGTACACGTTGCGACCCGACTGAGGACTGCAACCGGATGGTGACACGTCGGCCTCTGCGCCCTGGCCGGGGCAGGCGTGACCGACGTCACAGTGGAGGAACGCCCAAACAAGACCAGCCCACCGTCGGAGCAGCATGGAAATATCATGTTCTGCCTGGACGTCGGACCCGGCGGCGGCGCAGTGCACCTGCACACGTGCGGAGAGGGGCGCTGGAGGCTACTCTGGAGCTTCTGCCATTCCGCGGCGCGACTGCTGGCAAAACGGCGGCGATTGAGGCGGTTGGGAACAGCTGCAGCAATGGTGATGGCGGTGATGGCGACATGGCGGTTTGGGACTTCATATCAGCGCGGCCGCCGCCCAGGCGCCGCTGCGCCTGGCTGCTCAGCCACCTACCGGATGGCGGGGTGGCCCTTACGGCCCTCACGCCCGTTCGGTCTGCGGCCACGTTGTGGGGTGGCGGTCGCGGGGTTAGCGGCGTTGGACTTCGTCCTTTATCCAGACTGCACCGCACCATCTGAACGGATGGATCTGCCAAGAAAGATGACATCCAAGGCGGCTATGAGGCGATCACAAAGCTT